TTTGATAGGACCCGGGGAAGGATTGCGTAACAATGACAGACTCTGGTCAACATTCCCAGCACAAGGATGAAGGGGGTGATAACTACAGTTTGTAGTATGAAGGGTTTTCATGAATGTCGCTCGAAGGAGCACACTACATTAAAAATAAACACGGTAAAAATTTTTACAGAGAAGGCATGATAGGACGATATAGAAAATGTGAATAGCCCAGGGCAGAAGGGGAGATACCACAACTGTTTAGGACACGCTTGGTTAAGGATGGACTTCACTTGTCTCTTTGAAGTGTTGTAATATGGTGCTACGAATGGCGACTCACTGACGATGCCGGCGAAACATCTGGGAATGTACCACGTCTACGGTCCGACTTTGGAAATGATGATGCATACAATGGACTCCGGACAAGGTGTGTTCCTCTAAGTCTTCCTACCACTATAACCGAGTTGCGAAAACAAGGTCAAACAACTTCTATACATAGTTATTACTCAACTTTCTACCACCGCTGCTTACATTGTACGTATTCTATAATCAATAATTTCAATAGCCTCTCCTATCTTCCTTGTGACAGACGTGCAATAACCAACAAACTTATTAGTTTGAGACCAATGTATATTATGTCCAGTCTCTGACATGTGTTCGGCCACTGGTGACTGTTGGACCCAGCTTAATTGACACGCATTTTTGTGCCCTTAATCTTAGTCGAATAAGCCGGCATGCCTCACGAGCGTACGGCCAACCACAGGAGCACAATCTCGTAGCAGCAAGATTACGATGGCTTATATTTCTATCTAAAATACGGCACAACAGAAGAAAGTGTGAAGGTCTCTTTTATCCTCAACTTTCTTATTGATTCGCCTATCTTCTTGGAAATAAGGCATAACGACAAAATGAGGAAATAAAAAAAGGTCTTAGCTTATCTATCTTTGAATAAGTAGTGTGCGTCTGAAGATTTATTCCTCAGTAAAGAAATATTATCAATAAAGCCCAAAGAATAATTATTTTCTCGGAATAAATTTATAAGCCGTTCCAACTCTAGTCAAATGGTTGCTATCCGCTAG